ATGTTCTTCTAGGTGTCTGACAATTTTATTCTTTACTATTGTTTCAACTAATTTGGCCGGTACTGACGTTAGACTTACTGGTTTGTAATTGCTGGGATCAATCGTGGGGCTCCCTCCATTTCCTCAGCCAGCTCCAAACTGAAGCCCCCTCCAGCTGTCTCACACCCCCTCCCAGGAGCGGCGCCAGGGTTTTTGGCGCCCTAGGTGGGTGTCCTTCCGCGCTCCCGGTCATCGTCGGCAATTCTGCGGTGGGGGGGGGGTCTTTCCATGCTCCCGGTCTTCGGGGCACTTTGGCGGCGGGTCCCAGAGCGACTGAAGGACCCGCCGCAGAATTGCCGCTGAAGATCCGGAGTGCGGAAGGACCCCCCGCCGCCGAATTGCCGCCTCCCCAAATCCTGGTGCCCTAGGCGACCGCCTAGGTCACCTAAATGGAAGCGCCGGCCCTGCCCCCTCCCCCTGGTTCCTCCTCCAGCCTTTGTCCAGTTTCCCGGGCAGAAGGTGTCACCTGGCCCCAACCCCCCATCCTGGGCTCTCATGTTACATGCTCAGGTATCTTCCCCCAAGGAAAGTCTCCCATCCCACACAGTTACCAATAAAACTCCCCTGCAACCTTCCCAGGTCAATACTCCCCACTTCCTGCTGCATCACAGTGACCTCTCCCGAGTCCCCACAGAGACATAGAGAAGCTGGGAGCTGCATGATGCTTGGCCAGGCTGAGGGGCCCAGGGTTTCCTGGGCTTTGCAGGGACCTCTGCTTGCTTTGCCTGCCCTAGATTTCGCCTGCAGATTAGAGACAACATATGATGAACGCAGGAAGAGACGACACATCGTCCACTTCCTGTAGCTGGAGCCAGCAGCTGAGTTCCTCATTTGGGGCTTGGTTGAGTTGGGCTTCGGGGTGTTGGTGGCAGCGCTGAGGGGCCCCTGGCTGCCCCCATCATGGCATCTGCTCTCACTGTCCTCTTCCTCAGTGAGTATCGAATAAAGCCAGTGCGTGTGTCCATGGGGGGTGCATCTGAGGCCAGGGCCTGTGCCCATGGGGGAGAGGGGAGGGGCAGAATCTGAGGCCAGGGCGTGTGCCCATGGGGGGGATCTGAGACCAGGGCATGTGCCCATGGGGGGATCTGAGACCAGGGCGTGTGCTCATGGGGGGTGGGATCTGAGACCAGGGGGTGTGCCCATGGGGGGAGGTGAGGGTTGAGACTAGGGTGTAGGATCCAGTTGCTCTGGGATCTGGTCACTAACGAGCCGTCTCCTCTCCAGGCTGCTGGCTGGCCGGGCACAGCGGGGTGTGGGGAGGTGAGTATCAGTTTGTGGGGAGGACGATAACATCAAGGACAGGGGAGGGGATACGTGGGGTGGAGAAAAGAGGAACTGAGCCCTGAACCTTCCCCAAAACTCAACCCAAACTCCCCCCGTGAGCTCAGACCCGGCCCCGTTCTTCTGTGAACCTCCCCAGTCCCGGCCCCCCTAGGGAATAACTAGGAGCCGAATCTGGCTCGTGGGGTCTGACGAAGCAGATGGAAACCATCCTCTAGTTTAATGTCCTGCCCCCACCCCCCCGCCCCCAGGCTGTGAGGAATGGGGGGGGGGCAGCATGTGGATTTATTTCAGCTCATACAAATATTAACAGGGGCCGTCCATGGGCTCTAGATCCCCTCGGGGAACTGAAAGGTTCACGGTCAGTGCAGCCACGGGCAGAACCCCCAGATCCTCCCCTGCCCCGAGATCCACCCCAACACCTCCCTCCCCTGCACTCACAGCCCCAAGCCCTGATCCCATGGCCTTGGGAAAGGTGGGTCTTGTGAGATTCCTGCCGGTCACAGACTCTATTTCCAACCCCGGGGTGGGGTACAGAGCTGCAGGGGGCCCACTGGCCAGGCTCCCTGGCTGGCCTCAGGTGGGGTCGGGGGGGGCAGGTGATCTCTCATGCAGCTGGGTCCCGAGCTACGTCTGGGTGAGCCCCCTGCCCCAAGCCCCATGGGCAGCAGTGCCAACCCTGGTAGGGGACAGACTCGTAGAGAGGCCGAATGACGGATGGACTGAATTGGGGCGGGGGGGAGGTGGGGGCTGTGTCTCCCCTGTTTAACTCCTGTCTCTTGTTGAAAGCAGGGCGTGAATTTCTCAAACCCACCATCTGGGTGAGCCCCAGCAGGGTGGTGGCGCTCGGGGGAAGCGTCACCATCCGCTGTGCGGGTTTGTACCCGGTGTCACGGAGTATGGGGGGACTCAGGGCCCTGCACCCCCAGCGCCCTGCGATTCACCATGACTCTCAGCCAGCCAGTAAAGCAGAAGGTTTATTTAGACTACAGGAATACAGTCCAAGACAGGTCTTGCAGGCACGGACAACAGGACCCCCTCAGTTAGGTCCATCTTGGGGTCCCCGGGCACCCTAGCCCCCTTAGGGGATCAGAGCCCTGTCTGCCCCAAGCCCTAGTCACTAGCCAGCCTCTGAGACTCTGCCTTCAGCGACCCCACCCACAGCCTTTGTTCAGTCTCTGGGCAAAGGTGTCACCTGGTCCCAGCCCCCTCCTGGGTTCTCATGTTACAGGCTCAGGTATTTCCAGTCAGTCTCCCATCCCCCAATGCCGACCATCCCAGCCACACTCCCCTGTCAGCATTCACAGACCACAGTAAGAACAGACCCAGTTCGTCACACCCGGGCATGGAGTTCTTTCTGCGTAAAGCTGGACACCCGAACCTGCAGGTGCGGACGGTGCCTGATGGGACCGTGGCTGAATTTCCCATCGCCAATGTCAGCCGGGAAGATGGAGGGAGCTACACCTGCGACTATCGCTCCATAGCGGATCAGAGTCGCACATCGCATCCCAGCGACCCCGTCGAGATCATTGTAGGAGGTGAGGGGCCCGGCTCAGTGCCCCGGCTCCCAGCCCCACACCCAGCCAGACCCACAGGGGGTCTCTGCATGATGGGACGCTCAGAGCCAGGCTCTGCCCTGATCCCTGGGCCCAGCAGAGGGGATGCCTTGCCGGGAAGTGGTGACAGAGTCACTTGGGGGTTCCCCAGGCAGGGGGGAGAAGCAGCCACTGGAGATTTGGGGCAGAGGAAGGCCGGGGGCTGGGACTGGGGGCTGGGGTTGCCCTGGCCTAGCACAGGGCTGGGGTCACCCGGGCCGGCCAGCGCAGCTGGAGCTGCTCAGCATCGCACGACTGGAACTGGAGTCGGTTGGCTGGCTGGGGCTGACCTGGGACTGGGGCTGTGCCGGGGGTCCTCTGGAGGTGGGGGTGGGGGCTGGCTTGGGGTTCTGGCCAGCAGGGGGTTCTCCGGCCAGGGGAGGGGGTGGTGAGAGGCACTCAGGGCTCCTGCCATGGGAAGTGGGGCCTTGTGCGTCAGGGTGGAGTTGCAGGGCTAGCCTCCCAGAAAGGGGGGTCCACACACCGCTCATGGGGGATGGAGTCACTGGGGGGAGCAGCAGCCACTGGAGATTGAGGGAGGGGGGATCCCTGTCCCTGGGGGAGCTGCGGAGCAGGGGACCTTTCCCAGGGGGATTCTCCCCATCTTGGCGGATGCACAGAGGGCTCAGGGCCCAGGGGCTGCTCAGCCAGCCCCTCCCCACTCCCCTGGAAACCCAGCACTCAGTCGGGAGCTGCGCTGGGGAGGGGAAGGTGGCTGGGTCGTTGTGTCGGCCCCTTCCCCGCCCGGGGTCTGCGTCTCATGGCCTGTCTGTTTCCCACTGCAGAGCCCAGCTACACCAAACCCAGCATCTCCCTGAGCCCCAGCCGGGGGGTCTCCCTGGGGGGAAACGTGAGCGTCTGGTGTCGGGGGCAGCGCCAGGATGTGCGGTTTGTGCTGAATAAAGAAGGACGCCATTTCCCACCTGTGGATTCGGACGACATTGAGGTTGTGTTTCCCATCAGCAACATGCGCCGGGAGGACGGCGGGAGCTACAGCTGCTCCTATCACAGCAGATCAGAGCCCTTCGCCGTGTCGTACCCCAGCGACCCCGTGGAGCTGGTGCTGAGAGGTGAGGGGCCTGGCTCGGTGTCCCCATTCCCAGCCCCACCCCAGTAAGACCCTCACGGGGGCTCGGTGCCAATGGGGCACTCAGAGCCGGGCTCTGCCCTGAGCCCTGACCCCGCAGAGGGGACGCCCGGCTGGGGAGTGGGGACGGAGTCACTGGGGGGTTCCCCAGCCAGGGGGGAGCAGCAGCCCTGGAGGTGACTTTAATGCTGTCCCCTGTTTGTATGAACCGTGAGTCGCTATTTAATCCCGTGATCCCATCCCCTCTGTTCTCCAGCGCCCGCTCCAGGCAGTGCCCCGGCCCGGGCTGAATGAGGCAGGGGCTGCAGGAGAAGCGGTGGCTTCATGGACATGGCGCTGGGCTGGGACCCAGGAGATCTGGCCCAGCTCCTGGTGCGGACACACACTCTGAGTGATGGGAGCACGTCGCGGTTTTCAAAAGTGTCCTTCATTGTGGGGGGGCCTCAATCTTCAGGGTTCTCAGGCTGAGCGCCCACAAACCGAGATGCCCACAGTTAGTGGAGATCTCTGCAAACGCTGGCCTCAGTAGCGCTGGATCCCTTGTGTTGCAGGTGAATGTAGGGCCCCCGCCATGATCAGGGCCCTGTTATGCCAGGCGCTGCATAAACACAGAGTGAAGAGACAGTCCCTTCCCCTGGGAGCTCACTGAGGAAAGTGACTATGTCTGTGCCTCAGTTTCCCGCTATGTAGATGGGAGGCTGACTCCCTTCTTGTGTGCCGCTCGGGGCCTGAGGTGCTGGGCGGTGCCAGGCACCAGAGACCAGCCCGTGAGTCGCTCTGGTGCTCGGGGGGCTGGATGCAGTGAATTAGGCAGGGGCCACACATGGGCATATGAAGATCCCAAGAACTAGGGAGCCACGGCTCCATGTCTGTGGGGCTGGGAGCCCAGATCGCAGGGCCGGGATTCTGGGTGAGGGGAACTCTGGGATCTGGGAGAGAATCTCTGCCCGGGGGCCCCAGGATCTGCCCATGGCTGCGGCCTGTCGGGGAGGCCGGGGCTGGGTGGGTGCCCGGGTCTGGCTCTCACAGCCTGTCTCCTGTGCGCAGATCCCAGCTTACCCAGACCCTCCATCTCTCTGAGCCCCACTGGGGTCACCGCCCCAGGGGCAAACGTCACCATCCGGTGCCAGGGGCAGCGCCGGAATGTGACATTCTTCCTGCACAAGCCTCGAGACCGGAACCCGCAGCGACACGTGGCCTCTGGTGGGGATTGGGCTGAGTTCCTCATCACCACCGTGGGCCGGCAGCAGGGAGGGAACTACAGCTGCAGCTACCGGCCCCAATCAGAGCCCTTCATCTCCTCAGAGCCCAGCAACCCCGTGCAGCTGGTGGTAGCAGGTGAGGGGCCCGGCTCGACGTCCCCACTCCCAGCCCCACACCCAGCCAGACCCTCGCGGGGGGCTCCATGCTGCTAGGACGCTCAGAGCCAGGCTCTGCCCGGCGGGAGCTACAGCTGCTCCTATCACAGCAGATCGGAGCCATTCGCCGTGTTGTACCCCAGCGACCCCATGGAGCTGGTGGTGGGAGGTAAGGGGCCCGGCTCGGCGTCCCCGTTCCCAGCCCCACACCCAGCCAGACCCTCACGGGGGCTCAGTGCCAATAGGACACTCAGAGCCAGGCTCTGCCCTGAGCCCTGACCCCACAGAGGGGACACCTGGCTGGGGAGTGGGGACGGAGTCACTGGGGGGTTCTCCAGCCAGGGGGGAGCAGCAGCCCCTGATGCGACTTTAACGCTGTCCCCAGTTTGTATGAACCGTGAATCGCTATTAAATCCCGTGATCCCATCCTCTCTGTTCTCCAGCGCCCGCCCCAGGCAATGCCCTGGCCGGAGATGAATGAGGCAGGGGCTGCAGGAGAAGCGGTGGCTTGGTGTACACAGCGCTGGGCTGGGACCCAGGAGATCTGGCCCAGCTCCTGGCTCGGCCACAGACACTGTGTGATGGGAGCACGTCGCGGTTTTCAAAAGTGTCCTTCCTTGTGGGGGGGCCTCAATCTTCAGGGTTCTCAGGCCGAGCGCCCACAAACCGAGATGCCCACAATTAGTGGAGACCTCTGCAAACACTGGCCTCAATAGTGCTGGATCCCTTGTGTTGCGGGTGCATGTAGGGGCCGCCCCTTGAGCAGGGCCCTGTTGTGCCAGGCGCTGCATAAACACAGAGTGAAGAGACAGTCCCTTTCCCTGGGAGCTCACTGAGGAAAGTGAATATGTCGGTGCCTCAGTTTCCCATTATGTAGAATGGGAGGCTGACTCCCTTCTTGTGTGCGGCTCGGGACCTGGTGCTGGCCGGTGCCGGGCACCAGAGACCAGCCCGAGAGTCGCTCTGTGCTCGGGGAGCTGGATGCAGTGAATGGGGCAGGGGCCACACATGGGCATATGAGGATCCCAAGAACTAGGGACGTTCCTTCGCCAAAATAGGGACAAATGCGCCCAGAGCTGCTCCGCAGTGACTGGGAGAGAATCTCTGCCCGGGGGCCCCTGGATCTGCGCATCGCTGCCGCCGGCCAGGGAGGCCAGGGCTGGGTGGGTGCCCGGGTCTGGCTCTCACAGCCTGTCTCCTGTGCGCAGATCCCAGCTTACCCAGACCCTCCATCTCTCTGAGCCCCACTGGGGTCACCGCCCCAGGGGCAGACGTCACGATCCGGTGTCAGGGGCAGCGCCGGGACGTGAGGTTCTTCCTACACAAGGCTGGAGACCTGAACCCGCAGCAACACATGGACCCTGCTGGGGACGGGGCCGAGTTCCGCATCACCACCGTGGGCCGGCAGCACGGAGGGAGCTACAGCTGCAGCTACCGGCTCCACTCAGAGCCCTTCGTCTTCTCAGAGCCCAGTGACCCCGTGAAGCTGGTGGTAGCAGGTGAGGGGCCCGGCTCAGCATCCCCGCTCCCAGCCCCACCCCCAACCAGACCCTCGTGGGGGGGCTCCATGCTGCTAGGATGCTGGGAGCCAGGCTCTGCCCTAAGCCCTGGGCCCAGTAGAGGGGACGCCCGGCCGGGGAGCGGGGATGACGTGGGTGGCAGGTATAATAGGCCAGGGAAAGCTCTGCCTTCCCTGGCTGGAGCCGCTGCCGAGGGACGCTGGGCTGTGGTTGGCCAGATGGCCGGGGCCTGGGGCTGGGGGCTGCTCTGGCCTAGCACAGGCCTGGGGTCACCCGGGCTGGCTGGCGCCGCTGGGGCTCTTGGGATCGCATGACTGGGGCTCAGGTTGGTTGGGTGGCTGCGGCTGACCCGGGACTGGGGCTGTGCCGGGGGTTCTCTGGCCGGGGGAGGGGGTGGCGAGGGGCACTCAGGGCCCCTGCCACTAGAAGCCGGGCTTTGTGCAGTGGGGGGCTGGGGTTGCAGGGCTAGTCTCCCGGAAAGGGGGGTCCACGCACTGCCCATGGGGGATGGAATCACTAGTAGGGTTACCATATTTCCACAATCAAAAAAGAGGACACTGGGGGGGGGGAGCCCCGCCCTAGCCCCGCCCCCATCCACTCCCTCCCACTTCCCACCCCCTGACTGCCCCCCTCAAAACCCCCAACTCCCCGCTTCTTGTCCCCTGACGGCCTCCTGCTGAGAACCCCCCACCCTAACTGCCCCCCTAGGAACTTACCTGTCCCCTGACTGCCCCGACGCTTATCCACTCGCATGGGTGGCAGGGTTGTAGAAATTTTGGTGGTGCCCAGAACTCGCCCCCCCCCCACCTGCCTAAGGCTCTGGGAGGGGGATTGGGTGGGGGGAGGAAGTCTGGGGTGCAGGTCCTGGGTGGGGGGAGGAAGTCTAGGGTGCAGGAGGGGTGCAGGGTGCAGGCTCTGGGATAGAGTTTGGGTGCTGGGTGCAGGCTCTGGGCTGGGGCAGGGGGTGGGTGTGCAGGAGGGGGTGAGGAGTGCAGACTCTGGGATGGAGTTTGGGGGTGGGAGGTGGTGCAAAGGGAGGGGGTGCAGGCTTTGGCGGGGAGTTTGAGGGCAGGAGGGGGGTGTGGGAAGGGGGAGGGGGTTTGGGAGTTTGGGGATAGGAGGGGTGCAAGGGTGAGGGCTGTGGGGCTGAGGATGAGGGGTTCATGATGCAGGAGGGGGCTCAGGGCTGGGGCAGAGGAATAGGGGGTGGGGGGATGAGGGTTGGGGCTGAGGATGAGGGGTTCATGATGCAGGAGGGGGCTCTGGGATGGAGCAGAGGATTAGGGTGCAGGGGGATGAGGGTTAGGGCTGAGGATGAGGGGTTCATGATGCAGGAGGGGGCTCAGGGCTGGGGCAGAGGATTAGGGTGCGGGGGGATGAGGCTTGGTGCTGAGGATGAGGGGTTCATGATGCAGGAGGGGGTTCAGGGATGGAGCAGAGGATTAGGGTGCAGGGGGATGAGGGCCGGGGCTGAGGGGTTTGGGGTGTTGGAGAGGCTCAGGGCTAGGGTGGAAGGGCAGGGTAAGGGCAGCCTGTCTTGCCATTTGTGGATGGGGGGCACTAGGACCCAGGGGCAGCAGACAGCAGTTGCTGCCGGCTCTGGCAGTACAAGCAGGCATGGGAGAGGCAGGCGGGGGGGGGAGGACTCACGGGGGGGGGGATGCGTGGAGGGGGGGTGGCAGGTGGAGGCCGGGGACCCATCCAACACTCCCCCGCTCCCTGACTGCCCCCTGGGACTCCCCTTACCATGCTCATGTCCACGTGTAGGCAAAACACGGCTGCAGGCAGCAGGGGGGAGCAGGGGAGGGCTCTGGCTGCTGGAGGCCAATGGGAGTGGGTCAGTCGGCCCAGCCGCCCAATCAGCAGCCGCACTCTGCATGGAAGGGAGGGAGGGAGAGGAGGGGAAAAATCCCGGACCTTTTAACCTTGTTACCAATTCCTCCTGGACGGCTATTTAGAGACGCAAAAGCCGGACATGTCCGGGGAAATACGGACGGATGGTAACCCTAATCACTAGGGGGAGCAGCAGCGGCTGGAGATTTCAATCCGAGGGAGGGGGGATCCCTGGCTCCAGGGGAAGCTGCGGAGCAGGGGG